TGGGCAGCGGGTTCCCTCGTGCTGGAGGTGACAGTAACTTTCTCCCTTCCAGGTGCAGGAGGGAGGAGAGGGGTCCCTGTGTCCCCACTGCCCTGCCAGAGGAGGGGAAGCTGAGAGAAAGCTGCGATCGATCCTTCCCAGCGATGCAGTGAAACCCAGGACACAGCTGAGAGTGGCCTGTGACAGGGCAACGCCGTCCTGCTGCCTGCTTGGCCCCGTCCCCATCCCACCACCAGCGCCATCGCTATCCCTTCTGTCCCCTGCCAATGCCCGTGGGTGAAAGCTGCACACTCAATCACTGTGCTGGTATCCCAAGCGTGGGGCTGAGCTGTGGGCCCTGCTTTTTCCTGTGAGACAGTGGCGATGGGGGCTGCTCTCTCCACCGGAGCGATCGTGGCAATTTCTTTTAACTGTGTCATCGCGTTGCTCATCCTCATCCTCTTCCTCATCCTCTGCAAGGCCTGCAGGACCCCCTCGTGCCCCAAGAAGAGCCCAGCTTCTGATGTGGATGAGGCAAGGAATGAAGAGAAGTACCTGCTGCAGCCGTGAGCTGCCTGGGGACTTGGGTATCTGGCTGTGCTGAAGTGGCCACACCAGCCTGGACGTCTCTGCGGGGACTGGGGTGCTGGACCGGGCACCATGAGAGCAGAGGGGATACTGAACTGCTCACAGGGGCTGTGAGGTGGGGCACAGCCCTTTGCCTGCATGGTTTTGATGTGTGAAGTCCCTGCAGATGCCCATAGGGACCACGGGGATGAAGAGTCGGCAGCCTGGAACATGCTATGGGGATAATTCTGCCTGTCCCAGTGGCCAACGAGCACAGGAAGAGCCCTGCTGCCAACTGCACCCCATGTCTGGGGACAGCCTGTGGGCTCCTCCCTGGCGCTCATGGCCCAGTCCAGTGGCCACCACGTCGCAGACCTGAGTGGGGCCAGCTGGGGGTCTTGGAGAGGGGAGGCATTGCAGTTGACATGGACGCCTGTCCCCAGGTGTTCTGGCTGCCCCATGGTGGGATGTGCCTAGTGGTACCCGAGCAGCCCTGGCCCTGTCAGCAGAGCAGGGTGTTACTGGTCTGATTGTCTTTGAGGATGGTCCTGGTGAGCTGTGTGACACCAGCCTCAGCGGTGGGACCCCAGCCTCAGGAGGGCATTTGGCACCCATCTGCCCCAGCAGCCAGTTTAATGAGCCTCAAGGTCTGCATGGTCTGTACGCTCATCCCCCGTCTGTCTGTCTGTCATTTCTCTCCAGCATTAGCACCAACACTGCTAGGGAACCGACCCTCCTTCTTGCTGGGCACCTGTCTCTGCCTGCCCTCCTGCCTGCTCCCACCTGAGCCCAGCCAGCGGGGTCTGACCTGCTTGCGGGCAGCAGTTGTGCCCTCGTTGGCATCCCCACCTCCACTGAGAGCAGCCTGGGATGGCTTTTTTGCTGGGGAGGTGGGGAGATACGGGGAGATGAGGGTGCCCGGACAAACAGAAGGGTCTTGCATCTCCATCACCCCCCCAGGGACCACAGTGGCTCTGTGGGGAGGGATGCTGGTGGTCTGGCTTGCCCGCAAGCCTGGCAGCTGCATTCCCCCCCAACGCTGCCTGCAAGTGCTGTGGGTTTTGGAGGACTCTGCCTGCCCATCCCAAAGCTGAGCAATAGCCAGCGGCACAGCCGCTGCCATAAGGGGATAGAGGGGTGGGCTGTGCCGAGAGGGACAGGGTCCCTGCGCAGGCTTGGCCAGGCCTGGCAAAGCCTGCAATTCCTCCTCATGTCAGGTGTAGCTAACGCACCCCTTTGCAGCGTCGTTTTTACTAGACTAATAAACTGATTGTAGGACCCAGGTGGCGTCTCTGAGCTCTGCCCAGTGCCTGAAAATTCTGAGGGAAGCGGCGTGTCCTGCCTGTCGTGCGGGGCTGAGGAGCAGCCGCCCTAGGGCTTGTGGCTGATGTCCCTGCAGGACTGCGGGCGGTTTGCTGGGTGATGGCGACCAGGAAGAGCTCATGTCTGCGTCCATCTGTGCCTTTTAAATGCTGGGTGAGAAACCTGGCTGGATATTTCATGCTGGTAGCATCTCTGCCTGGGCTGGGGGCACATGGCTGTCTGCAGGGAATACCCCACAACCCCGGTGCTGGAGGAACCAGAGAGTTTCTGAGCCATGGCCTTAAGTTATAGGGATGCTTGTGGGGGATGCAGGCCAGCTGAGTGGATGGAGGAGACCTGCCACCACCCCTGCCTGGTGGAACAGGCACCTCAGGTCCCCAGTCCTGGCAGCTGTGCACAAGGCTCCAGTGGTGACAGCCTGGCCCTGCTCATCAGCATGCGGCGAGGCCACCGCGGCTCCTGCTGCCACCGCAGCCACGTAGCAGCTAATCCCTCTGCCGCAAAGCATCGGAGCGGTGGGAACGCTCT